GTCCTATAACCTGCAAATGTGATCTTCCAGCAGAGCAGGGTTCTTCAGAGAAAGTGAAAGAATATATTTTGACTGGTCACAGTAGGAACTGAAAAATTAATTAATGATGGCTGAATTCCATTTAGATGCTTCAGTTTCAGGCTAAAGGTATTTTGCATGCTGACTCACTGTCACGCTGTCGTGACTCACTGGGACACTTAATGGAATGGAGCCATCGTTATGTTATCAGTAACACCGGTGCCTTTCCTGATATGAAAAGTCAAAATGTCAGTAGAAACATACAAGAGCAACATACAACAACTGATGTCAAACTATTATAAGCAGAGGTAATCAGTTGAACACATCAAAACAAAATCTATATAATTAATATTAATTTATGTATGTTTAACTTTATGCAACAGAGTAACTACGTTGCAACAGCTGTCTGACAAATACAGCGAAGCAAAAACCACAATAATTCCCACTGAAATGCAGTACAGTAAAAAATAAATGGTCACACAAAATGGAGACACTCAGATCAAAAATGTTTTCATTTCTGTCATTCTTTGGAGCAAAGGTAAAAATGGGACATTGCATTTTGACTCTTGGCATATGAGTTAAAAATTAAATACACATACAATACTACAAGATTGCACATATATATGTTTACATATATATTATATACCTGGCACAACCACTTTGTCTCTGCATTACAGTGTATTTACAGCTGAAACCCACAAAAGGAAGTGTTCTGGTATTCCTCCATCAAGTCCCTTGGGGGCTTTCCTTTACCAGGACGGCCAAGCACCATTGTTGTGTGTCCTCTGTTGCCGGGGAGACAAGGTGCGTCCCTGTGGGCCTCATGCTCAAGGCTCAGGTTCACCTGTGAAGACTCTCACATTACCATGGTAGCTTTCTGCCTTTAGAAGACTATCCGGCATGGACAGTTGGTTTGTGTCTCCTCAGGGCTGGGCTTGCTGTGAGACCTCATACATAACAGATCCACAGGAGATCCACAGGGCTCAGTGACAGCACCAGGGGCCCAAAGAGAAGACTCTGTAATCAAAATCAAAAGCAGCTGTGTAAACATTGGTTCTTTATCACGTTTAACATTTTTGTGAGAGATATGCTTTCAGAACAGGATTCATTGCTGGTGTACTCTCTGGCACTAAAATTATTTCTTTTTAAATGTGGAAATAACAATCTAAATCACCACAATTGCACACAGCATTTTGAATGGTTTTGTAGATCCCATGAAAAGTTATGAGTCTCTTCTGACCAGAACAAAGCCAAAACAATACCATCTGTTCCCATCATGTCCCACACAGTCTGCCAATTAATTATTGAAATGTCAGCTAAGCTCCTTTTTCCATAAACACATAAATTGTTCCTGAATTATCTCAGCTATCAAAACAACATGTGACTCACCTGCAAAGCGTCATTACATTTTCCACAATGGGCTTCTCAGGTTTTCTTTACCCGCACAGTGGTTGTCACTCACTGAGACTGGTGGTGGTTATCTTTGGTGACAGAATGGGCAGCACAGCTTGAGCCCTTAAAGTGGCTCAGACATAGAGGTAGCCAGTCCAGGGGTCACAGGAGTCCATCTGCAGCAGCACTATAAAAGTTGCATGGTGACACAACATTAACCTCAAGTGGTGCCTGAGACAGACCTATTATGAATATCCTTTACCAAGGTTCAAAGTAGTTATTATCCTACAGGAGATCTTTATTATACTGTCTATGGTGACACAAATTGTTAGTTTTTACATATTCTTTTTCAATCATCATCTCTGAATTACAGCATTTTCTTTCACTCAGAAGCTGCCACTGCCGCTGATTACACAAGAGGTGAAAAGGGGTCTTATCTTTTCTATATTCCTCAGTCTCCTAAAAAAAGGCATTGGCATAAGAAAGTTATTTATTTGAAAAAGTAAGCATCCCAAGCAGGGCTTGTATATATCAATTGTTTGGGCAGCCATCCTCACAAAATGTCTTAATTTCAAAGCAAGTTATTCTGTGTGGCTTTCATCCTCTGTGTAGATTAGGAACAAGCAAAAGTACGGTTGTAAACTGGCCTTACTACGACATGTGTTTTTCATGTCTCAAGTTATCTAATTTTTGGATTTTGCATTTGGACTCTGTTGTATCAGAGCAGATGATCAAACAAAATGCAGCTGTGACCTACTATAACAGCTATGTGATTCTTCTTGCTTATAGATGGTCATTCTGTGCTGGAAAACAACAACAGCCACCTTCATGTAATATTTTGATTAGTAATGAAAGTTTGCATTTTGTCTTTCCAGACACAAGTTACCAGTTATTCAGAATAATCTACAGACCTAGCTTTAAATGATTCAGAATAACTATGGCTTTTGTAGAATCACAGCCCTTGTATTAATATCAATATAAATCATTACAGTCTGGCACTGTTCTGTCTTTGAACTGCTGAGTGGATTGTTCTCAATATTACAATAATTAATTAGCAATAACTATTATGGGTAACTGGGTCATGTCAGGCATAACACCAGTTGGTGACAAAGTGTTGTAAACGGCGTTGAGGACTGAGCTTTACAAAGGCTGCGTCCACTCCTGTTGCACATGTCCTGTGTGACTGTAAGTGCTCGGACGAACATTTATGTGTTCATATTCACTGAAATCTGTTTGATAGATCAACGCAAGTTGAGTCCACCCTGTTCGTGGACGTTGTATTCATACTAATCATAATCATTCGGTAATTTGTAAACTAATGCTGTATTGCAGTCATCCATATATACCCACTGCATTTAAACGTCTAGTAATGAAAGATTGGTGCATTTATTTTAAAATCTGATGAAGCTGCTGGCCAATCACCGACTGATGCGCAGCTCCTCTCTTCCCATAACCCTTTGCAGGAGCTCAGTGGTGCTAGCTGCTAGGCTAGCTGCTTGGTAATCTGTCAGCCTGAAGCTAAAAGCACACACACCGCTGGGCACCGCACTCTCCTGGATTACTCTCCTTTGATGGGTAACGTCCTCTTTTTCATTTTGTTCACAAAGAGACAGACTGGCAAGGTCGCGCATGAACGTTAGTGAGGTTTAGACGGAACGTGAATATTTAGCCAGGAATATGAGCCACGTATTGTCTTAATGTTATCAAGCCAATACTTGCTATCGTCAGTAACGTTAGACATAGATGTGCTGTGCAGCACAGGCTTTTCACGGATGCAGACAGACAGACGTGACTGCCATTCACCTACGTTTATAAGCAAATTACAATCCTTCTATTAACGTCTAATAACTAACATCTGACTCTTGAATCTAGCTCGCAAACCAGTTGAGTTGACGTGGTAACTTGACGGCACATCTGGTAGCTAGCGCTAGCATGTTTAGCAGCATATTCGTGATGTCTAGTTAATGTTAAAGTAACTGAGGTAGTTTAAGGTTTACATAGTGTTTTAATGTGGCTAATGGGATAACCAGCTATAGCGGTTAACTAAATGTCGTGTATCAGAGTTTACATAGGATACAGTCTAAATGCTGGTATTTTAGTGCTCTTAAGTTTGCAGCAGCGCAGTGTTGCCTGGCTAACTGCCCAGCGAGTAAAAGTCATTAAAGTTAAACCTTTACAGAGGTGCCACCTCAGTCAGTAAGAGTACATGGGAATTTGATAGATTACGTAAGGGATTATGAATATTTAAGAATGTTTCCCGAGAGGCTAACATGCCATCATGTGAGCAGATTGGGGTCTGTTGTGTTTTGTTACAATAACTGAATGGGTGTAGTCGTTAGTTATCAATGTCAGACAGCTCAACAAACAAAGCCGTAAATATTCCTCATCTGGCCCAGCCTTCGAAATAATCGACTTCCTGTTGACACTGAGGCTGTTTTTCAGTTAGTCCTAGCAAACGTAAGTGCCAGATTATTATCCCAACTCCCTGTGGTAATGCTGAGGGATAGTCCCAGCCTGAGAAGTGAGCGGATTATGATTGTGTTGGATTTGCACACAGAGGGAAACAGGAACACCTATTAGTGCTGTGAGGAAACACAGGCCACTCTGCTCAGCTTGATTTCCCCCCCTGTTGACTTTACTTGTCAGATCAAAAAAAGTATTTCTCACTCTCCCGCAAAGCCCCTGTCACTTGTGCTTCTTGTCAGTAACAGTCCTGTTCTTGAAATGGCAGGCTGAATATGTATTTTTTGAATGCTCCATTAATCTAAATTTTTTCTAACAGCTGAAGAAGACCCTCTGATGTGATTTCAACTTTGGCACATGTGATCAAGGACAGACGCACTGCCCATGCTGCTACAGTAGATATGCAGTTACTACGCTGCTGAGAGAAGAATGACATTTGTCTCATTTTAATTCCTGGAGCTGCTTCGGGCAGAGTTGAGACTTGACTAAAAAGCTGCAGCTCTGAGCCAAGTTGGTCTTTTTGTCAGCCTATTTCTTTGCACTGCCACAGCGTAGTGTGCAAACTGTTATGGCACTGGAGGCCAACTGAGCAAAAGGGGACTCCGGCTGTACTGCAGGATTAGAGTCTGTTGTGGGAGTGGGGACTGGACCAGGAGAGCAGGCCCACAGCGACACACATCATGCTGCAGGGACACTAGGCTCCCTGTTTAAGCCCCTTCTTTGTGGCACTTGTTTTTTTCTTTTCCTGCAATCTCATCGGTTTGGATGGTTGAGCACAAGGGCTACTTTGAAGGAGCCCACCGGTGGCTGTGGTTTGGCCAAAGCTGACAGACTTTGCCAGCTATTGCAGATTTAGTATCCTTGTCCACTGCTCTCACTGCTTTAGCCTCCTTCGCTGTGGTCTCCAGTATGGTGAGTGGAGGCTGGAGGCATCGCAGGAGTGGAACTGAACCATTAATACTGGTGTAGCTGGTTACTTTCCATCATTTTTTTTTTTTTTTTTTGCACTGTGACGAGTTGCATTCCGGTTTTCAAGGACTTTTTCTCTGTGCTGGGAAAAAAAAAAGACCTCAGTCAAGGTCATTTTTCAAATTTAAACACCGGAAAGAAGAACGTTCCAGAGTAGGATGAAGCTGAGGAAACAGGTGACAGTGTGTGGAGGGGCCATATTCTGTGTGGCTGTATTCTCACTCTATCTGATGTTGGATAGAGTCCAACATGACCCGGCAAGGCGACAGAATGGCGGGAACTTTCCACGGGTAAGAATAATTGCTGTAGTGGTGATGTATATATTGTATGAAAAAGGTCTTTCTGCTGTTAAGTTTGTAGCACTTCCTTTTGCATTTCTTGTTGTTGACTGTTCAAATGTTAATAGTCACGTCCAATAATGCACTTATTGTACTGTAGAGATTCTGCCATTTACTACCTTTGCTGAATTTTTCACAACAGATTGTCTACTTTAAAGTCTTAAAACTGAAGTTTGTTCAGTATAACAGAGGAGAGCCATGTGGTTTTGATCAGCAGATGTTTTATGATGCTTCACAGCTGTATGATTTATTATTTCTGTGTGTGATTTAGAGCCAAATATCAGTTCTGCAGAACCGGATAGAGCAGCTGGAGCAGCTCCTGGAGGAAAACCACCAAATAATCAGCCACATAAAGGACTCTGTGATGGAGCTCACAGACACAGGAGCTGTGTCTCCTAGCGGCCACCTGCCATTCAGAAGTGCCAATGGTTCTTGGGTCCTACCATTTGATGGTCGCCCCACTTTCCTCGCTGTCAAACCCCAGGATTGCCAGTTTGCTGTTGGCAGCAATGGTCAAGCAGACGTTCAGGTGGGCTACCTACACTCCTTGTGTTGCTGTTACATTCTAGGTGTTAATCCTTATATTTGGGCTCTTATTAGTGAGCAGATGTTGAGTTTGTCTTTTAATTTTAGATGCTGGATGTGTACTCCCTCCTGAAATTTGACAACCCTGACGGTGGCGTATGGAAACAGGGCTTTGACATTACTTATGACCCTGAGGAGTGGGACAATGAACCGCTCCAAGTGTTTGTGGTCCCTCACTCCCACAATGATCCAGGTGAGTTACGATGGCGTTGCAAACACAGCAAAACTTTTGTTGAATGTTGATTATATCTCTGTGCTAGTTTGAAAGTCCATCTGATCAAACAGTTCCTTGAGACACAACCTAAAGCATGTCTGAACGCTTTTTTATCCCCAAGAGATTAAAAATAGTGCCTTGTTTGCAAAGAAAGAGACAAACCAGCCACTGTGAGGCCTTTCCTGAGTGGGAGGATGGTGATGGAGGCGTCGAAGTCATTCAAAATTAGATTCATTCGTACTCATTATTATTATTATTATTATTAGCATAATGGTGACATGATTGACGGCTTACCCACAAACAATGGAATTAGAAAGATATGGGATTGGAAAACTGTAGCTATTTATAGGTGGAATTGGCTCAGATTTTATTTTAGACTGACATTTCCATTTAACTTGTTTGCCAGCCTGCCACATGCTTGTTTACTTGACAGTTATTGATATGCTGACAGGCTGTAGAGACCTGCAAATTTTGCCCATCAACAGTGAGAATAGACTTCATTTGGAGCTAAATTTGATTCAACTGTGCTGCAAATTTTTTGAAGTATTTTTTTTTTAATGCAGCAGTGTCCAAGGTTTATAGACCATAGTGAGGTTTTGTATGCAGACATCATAATGTCAGTTCACGCTGAAGAAATGTGAGAGCAGGTTTGCTGGTAATAGGCAAATTTTTGCTAAATGTAAAAGAGGAATTTTGAGGGTTTTAGTCAAATCCAGGTAAGCAGGTCAAACAATGAGCCACACAGTGTTAAAAAGGCTGCAGTAAAAAGACCTGTCCCTCACAATTGATTACAAGCTCTAGTGACAGTGACTATGATCCTGCATATGTCCAGAATGATGTGGAACTTTCATCTCTGTAAAATATATTACTACAATATTTGGGATGAGTATTTCACAGTGTATTTATAGTCTGAGGTACACTGTTGCACACTAAAAATGCATAGAAAGTGCTTTTTAGTCACTTCCTTTGAAACCACTCTGCTAAATAGCTTTCTGAGGGGAACACTTCTACTTGAATAAAATATGAGTTTTATTTTTGATCTGTTGCAGCACTTTTTCCACAGTGCTGACTCTCTTTGCCTGCCCTGTCTTCTTGTCTTTGTATCGGCCGGCGAGATGAAGGGAGGCGAGGGGGTAGAGGTGTGTTGTATGTCAGACAGTCCAGTTTGTATCGGACAGTCTGTTTGCCAACTGTTGTGCGGATTTTCTTTTGAGATTTATCGTCATGTCTTGTTAGGTTGGATCAAGACTTTTGACAAGTACTTCACAGACCAGACGCAGCACATTTTAAACAACATGGTGGTCAAGTTGGCTGAGGATTCTCGCAGGAAGTTCATCTGGTCTGAGATTTCATTTTTCTCCAAGTGGTGGGAGACTGCAGACATACACAAGCAGGAGGCTGTGCGCAAGTGAGTCACAGTGCACAGTTTTGCCTTTCATTAATTCTCCACAATCTGAGAATTAATTGAGATTTCTTTGATGCCTACTGGCCCTTAAATATAGTCTTCTCATTGTATCTACTGGCAGACTGTGGATTCTCTAAAAATAGCTTGTTATCTGGTTAATGTGACTCTCCCTCTTTAGGGCTGGATTATCCTTACCTTGCTTTCTTAATCCTCTCTCTTCAACAGACTGATCCTTGGAGGGCAGCTAGAGATTGTGACAGGAGGGTGGGTGATGACGGATGAAGCCAACGTTCACTACTTTGCCATGATAGACCAGCTCATTGAAGGCCATCAGTGGCTGGAGAGAAATCTGGGTACACAATCCATCATTTACATTTAGGGAGGTGATCCCTAAATGTTTAAGAAGCTTTTTCCTTTTTCTGTGAAATTTCAGGACGTTTGCCTTCACCTTCAACTCTTTTCACTACATTTAAGTCTAACTTAAAGTGTTCCCGCTGCTCTCTGTGCTTTATAGTGAAATCTGAGCTTGTCATCTTGCATGCAGCAGGTGTAGCCTCTCACTCAGTGGGAGATAAAATACTTTGTGCGACTTTCAGTGCTTCCTGCTGAGGAGAAAGATTTCTTGAAAGATGTATTGCTTCCTTTTATATGTGAATATAAAGCTGAAATACTTGCTTCCTCCTCACTGTCATAGGTATAACTCCCCGCAGTGGGTGGGCAGTAGACCCTTTTGGTCACAGTGCTACTATGCCCTATCTGCTAAGGAGGGCCAACCTGACCAGCATGCTCATACAGAGAGTCCACTACTCCATCAAAAAACACTTTGCCTCCACCCGCAGCCTGGAGTTTATGTGGAGGCAGGCCTGGGGTGAGTGGACCGGAGCCATCAAATCATCTTATTCATCTGCTCATCTTTCTTAAGCTCAGTGCACAATGAGTCATGCCACTTGTCATGGCCTTTCAAAGAGAGGGAAATTTTTGGAAGGACAACCAGTGCAAAATAGCTTCAGATGGGATATCTTCATTATTATTTCTCAATGAATGAGATGTCTGCTTAAGATTTACTGCCCATTTGTTCTTAATGGAAAAATCCTCAAATATTACATTGTTGGATATGATCAATTTGTGATATTTTTTTTTAGGATTAATTTTGTAATGAAATGTCATCATTTACTTTTAGCTGCTATATCCAGAATGACTTTCTAGAGTCCCCGGAGAACACTGTAAGGGTGAATTTAAATTGCCAACATGTTTATGAGCACTGGTGTGTCAATGATTGTAGGAAGCATCCTTACACAGATCAGAACATGCCTCATCAGTGCATTTCATTCTGGAGGCTACAGATGACGAAGAACGTCTCTCAAACCAGTACTTTTTTTTTGTTTGTTCTTTTTTACTTTACTGCTTTGACAGACACTGGATCAGGCACAGACATCTTTTGCCACATGATGCCGTTCTACAGCTACGACGTGCCTCACACCTGTGGGCCCGATCCGAAAATCTGCTGCCAGTTTGACTTCAAGAGGTTACCAGGTGGTCGGATAAACTGTCCGTGGAAAGTGCCGCCGAAAGCTGTGGTGGAGGCCAACGTAGCAGAGAGGTGAGGCATGTCGGGCTTGGTTATCCTTTACTTTGGGAAAGTTGAGGGTGGGAGTTACTACAGTAAGTCTTGTCCTCACAAATCTTAGGATGTCTGTTAGAACCAGAGCAATATATCAACTGGGCTAATATATCAGCTGTAATTTGTTATATGTGATGGAGCAATGACATGATTTGAAGCATTTGAAGATGTCAGGCTGGGCTTTAGGAAATAATAATTGTGAGAATTTTTGTAGTTTTATATAGGCCAAAGAATTTGTCAATTAATTGGGAAAATAATCAGTAGACCAATTGTTAATGAATATAATCATCAGTTGCAGCCCCAGTTTATTTGTGTTTGTTACATGTTGATTCAAAATCTGGCCTCAGCTGTTCACACATACATACACAGCAGATTGGTCACTGCTGTTGCAACTTTCAGTGTTTTCTGTGCTACTCTCCTCCAAATAAACTGAACTTGTGCCAGCCCGAGAGCGTGGATGAACAGAGGGACACAGACACAGACTGCAGATAGTCTTGCAGTCACATTACGCAGCTTTTAAAGGTCCTAAAGAACTTTCCAGAGCACATTTTAGTGGCTGATGGAAAAACACCCCTGGGCTAATAGGCTCCTCCGCCTTCCAAGGTCATAGTGATTTGCTAGAAAAACTGGCATTTGCAAAGCAGGGCAGTTTGGATGCCAAAAGATGTGTGTCCTTAGCTTTTTTTTTTTTTAACTTTCTCTTCCTCATTGTCAATCAGGGCAAACCTGCTCCTGGATCAGTATCGTAAAAAGTCCAAACTCTACCGCAGCAAGGTGCTTCTCGTCCCTCTGGGAGATGACTTCCGCTACGACAAGGCCCTGGAGTGGGATCAGCAGTACATCAATTATCAGAAGCTGTTTGACTACATGAATTCTCACCCAGAGATGCATGTACAGGTGAGAAAATAATTTGTCAAGTGTCACAAATCGTGTTGCTAAATATATATATTTTTTTGCTTTCATGCATCTCAGCTTGTGGCGTATGAAGTATCACAGTATGCAACCTTTCTTGTGATAATGAATCATGCAGTGGTATTTTATCTTGCTGAAAGAACAAAGAATCTGTCACGACTCAATGTTTGGTTGAGAAGATGCCATGTAAGATGAAAGGCACATACATAATAATGAGGGCTTTTTATTTCTTCTGTTGTGTCTGAGTAAAGTCTTTTTTTTCAACGTGTCACCTGTCTCCAGGCTCAGTTTGGGACTCTCTCAGACTACTTCAGTGCTGTATACAAAGCAAATGGAGTGGCCCAGGGATCCAGACCTGCAGACTACCCAGTGCTAAGTGGAGACTTCTTTGCCTACGCAGACCGTGAAGATCACTACTGGACTGGCTATTTCACCTCTCGCCCCTTTTACAAGAGCCTGGACCGTGTGATCGAGTCACACCTCAGGTGGGGCAGATTTATCATAGATTGCTAATAACTGACACCCACAACCTGTGGTGTATTAATAATACTGTTGCTGTTTATGTGAGTGAGTTCTGCAAACGACATTGTTTTCTTTTTTGCCTTTTGTTTTGCATTGCAAACAAGATGTGGGTGTCACATCCAAGGTCAAGGCACATACTTGTACCTGCAAGATCCTGTATGCAAACTAAATGTACAGTCCAAATAAAAACACAGGGCTGGAATATGCTATCAGTCCCAGATAGACCTTATATGAATCTTAGACTTAGATTTCAGAGCAATTTGCTGGAATATAGCAAATAACACAGTTTAAAGCATATGTAAATCAATCAGCAGTCATTGTAAAATAGCGTAGGAATTTCAACGAATTTTTTTAGCCGTCTAAAAAAAGCTAACACGTCTTACTCTAAACGACTTGTCAGTGATAACTTGTTTGTCAATGTCCTTCAGGGGGGCAGAGATCCTTTACAGCCTGGCAGTTGCGAATGCTCGACATGCGGGCATGGAAGGCCGTTACCCGGTCTCAGATTATGCCCTGCTGGTCGACGCGAGGCGATCTGTTGCCCTCTTCCAGCATCATGACGCCATCACTGGCACTGCAAAGGAGAATGTTGTCATTGACTACGGCACCAAGTAAGAATCTGGGGTTTAGAGAGAAATGACGGATTGGTTAGATTAAATTCTTTAAAAAATTTAATTGGTATGGAGTAGGAAACTCTGCGCCTCCCCTCTGTAATCCCCTGTCTCTGTGGCTGTTCTATACTCTCCCATTCAATACTTTGAAGCAAAAGTATTGAAAAGCCATCTGGTGTGACTGCTGCAGTAAGCCATTGATTCCTCCTCCTCCTCCCTAGATTACTGCGTTCACTCATCGGTCTGAAGAGAGTAATCATCAATGCTGCTCATTTCCTGGTGATGAAGAACAAAGAGTTTTATCGCTTTTACCAGACGGAGCCTTTCCTGGAGACGGTAAGAAACAGCATGGTGTGACACTTCTGCCACCGTATAATAAACTGTTCAAACACCTGGATATTTGTGCCTTATCGAGTAGTCAGTATGTTTCCTATGTTATATTTTTCCTCTGTAGGATGATAGGCGTGCTACTCAAGACTCTCTGCCTCAGCGCACTTTAATAGAGCTGGACCCAGCAGGGCCGAGGTATTATCTTCATCCCTTCACATCTTTCATCTCCCCCGCCACCTCCCTCTGCTAGTCCTCCACCATCCTGTACTTACGATTGCTTTTTCCTTCCTTCTGCCAGGTACCTGGTTCTGTTCAACCCCATCGAGCAGGAGCGGCTGTGCGTCGTGACTGTGTTGGTCAACACGATCAGGGTGCGAGTGCTTACTGAGGATGGACAGACCCTCCCTGTGCAGCTGAGTGCTCAGTGGAGCTCTGCCAGTCAAATGAGTGCAGAGGTGTTTGAGGTAAGATGCTAAATTCATTTGGAAATGCTGCTTTCTGCATAGTGAAATTGGCATATCACTTGCACAGCAGCAGTGTCAGCAGCAGTCCTCTATCAGTGCTCAGCCACAGTACTGCTGTGCTCTCAAAAGCATTTTTGATAGCGCTCAAATCCCAATACAAAGTCATTACAGTTATGTGCTAATGTTGGAAAGAGAACATAGACCTGAAGCCTATAAAGTGAAAGTCTCTTATTGTTGCAGTTATGCAAAGAGACAGCAAGTGAAGCTGCACTGATAACAGTTGAAGTATGTGTTTGTCAGATGAATAGAAAGGGATGACTAAAACTTGTCAAGGCTAGTGCACATAGGTCTTGGGGAGCACTACTCCATATGTTAAAGAGGTTGTATAACGCAAAAAGAAAAAATGTGGGGGTGTAGATTTACAAGTGAGCTTATCAGACCTGTTTAGCCCGCTCCTCATCTCTGCTTGAGGCTAGCAGCTCAAGGCTAAAATAAAAAAAAAAAGATGACATCTCTGTCTCTTTTTTTTCCCCCCAAATATTTTTATTAAACTGTCAACCCTGAGTCAGACATTGTTAAAGGAATGCAGTGCTAAACTGGTGGTTACTTACCATTATTGTATCTTGCCTAGTGAATTAAGCTTTACAATACAGTATTTGTATACACAATTATTATCTTTTTATTTTAAATTCTCAGCAAATTTTAACCTTCAGGACTCAGTATGTTGAGTGATAGAATCGGGGTGGCTGTAGCGTGGGTGGTAGATTCGAAAGGTTGGTGGTTTGACCCCTGGCTCCTCATGCCAAACAATAATAAACAATGTGCTAGTGTGTATGTCTACCGAAGATGGAACAGGACAGGAAATAAAGAGTGTATATTTTCTTCTCTTTGTTTTGATGTCTGCCTGCAAGTCAGCATTTTGTTCTAAAAAAAGAAAAAACAAACAAAAAAAACCAACCACAAAAATAACCCCACACCCCTTTAATCTGCTCAAATCATATATTGAATCTACAGTAGTAAAAATATCCTATTTGCTTCACTACACTGCAGATGAATTGATTTTGCACAAATGAAATTCTCTCCACCTTCTGCAAGTAATAGATTTAAATATTAGAGAAATACAAACAGTCTCATCTCTCATCATATTTTAATTACAGCACACTGTTCCTAATGTTTAAATGCTTTTAACTTTTAATGAATGCCTTCTGGTCAACACTTCCTGTTCTGATTAAAAAGGAGAACGACGCCAGCATTATAAAACACCAGATTTTTGCGTTTTTATGAAATAAAATTTTGGTGCATATAACTGCTGCAGTTTATACATATCCAACTGTTCTTCCACCCGTTGTCCAGGCCACATTCATGGTTCGTCTGCCACCGCTGGGTCTGGCTGTTTTCCATCTTTATGACTCTCCGGACTCGCCCATGACACTCCGCTCTGACACCCTGCTCAGGCTGTCTGGACGGGGCGCCACTGCCCGGGCTGGGGACCCCCTCCCTGTCCGCTCTCAGCAGTCCGACCCTCAGACCTTCTATATCAGCAGCCAGTCTCTCACACTTGGCTTCTCTGGAACAACCGGTCTCCTGGAGGTTTGTGCTGTATCTGCCCTTGTTGACTTCATTGATAATTTGAATTAAGGGTTTGCGCTTCCTTTTTTTTTTTCTCTTTTTTTTTCTTTTTTTTTTTTTAAATTCTGCACTGTCTCTTCATCTGTATGGCTTTTTCATCTGCAGAGTATCAAGCGCAAGGATGATCCTCAGGAAGTGAAGGTTCAGATGCAGTTCATGGTCTATGGCACTCGCCCCTCTAAAGACAAAAGCGGGGCTTACCTCTTCCTACCTGATGGAAAAGCAAAGGTATTCTCTCAGTTGTTTATTTACCTCTCAGAAGGCTTTGATAGAGTCTCCCTGGTGTATTGTATCATGCTGGGAAGCTCAGGGGCAGGAAGGCAGAGTTGCTTCATCTTTTCTTTATTTTTGAGACAACACACAGGAGTGTAGGGGATTAGTTGCCTTAGAGTATCTTATTACTCATTCTGATGGGAGCGTCTTCTACTCCTCTCTCCATCGTTCTAACACTCTCATTTTCAGCGCTCGTTCTGCTCATGATTTTCAATTTCTCTCCTCCTGCTTTCAGCCCTACAACCAGAAAGAGCCACCTGTGGTGCGCGTTGTGGAGGGGCCTCTGTTCTCTGAGGTTGTGGCACACTACCAACATTTTCAGCAGACCATTCGGATCCACAATGTGCCAGGTAATAAACACACAAAATAAAACACAAAGTGGAATCAAATGGCTTTTGCTGAGGCTTTTTATGATTAGTTAAAGGCACCAGATGGTACAATACAACCACAGCCAATATGTCTAACAAAATGAAAGTTTATGGTTCAGTTATGTACTTTTTTTTTTTCTTGTCAGCTGACAGTGTTGTTGCCTGTTTCTTTTACTCTGAGCAGGATAGTACTATTTTAAGTAGCACTTGGCCCATATTTGCAGATCACATCTTTCTGTTAACTTCCCTCTTGGGCCTAAGTTTCGTTCTGAATAGTTTGGTTTTGTATTTTTAGGGGTGGATGGGTTTTCTATAGACATCACCACCATGGTGGACATCAGAGATCAGACCAATAAGGAGCTGGCCATGCGACTGGTCACTGACATCCAGAGTGGAGATGTCTTCTACACAGACCTCAATGGCTTCCAGGTCAGTCCCACCCTGGCCAATAGAGAAGGATAACATATTTTCTGACAGTAAATAAAGAAATATAATAATATGTATGCTTAATTATTAGTTTGACTTATTGTGCGGTTCTCTGCATTTGATCTCCACTTGTAGATGCAGCCTCGACACCACTACCTGAAGCTTCCCTTGCAGGCCAACTTCTATCCCATGCCCAGCCAGGCATACATCCAGGACAGCAACCACCGCCTCACGCTGCACACAGCTCAGTCTCTGGGTGTCAGCAGCCTGGAGAGTGGTCCGTATCTTATTGCATTTTATTTAATGTTATGTCATTTTTCTTCATGAATTGTTTTTTTTTTTTTAATGAAAGCTATCTCTGAAATGCACTTTCTTTTTTTACTGTCTCTAGCTTTTTATGGAATAGTATTGAAGCACTTATCTCTCCCTCTTCTCCCTCAAGAGATTTTCAGAGAACAAAACAGTTCATATCCTCACATTTGTGTACTGAGCAAATCCTTTTATAATGGTTATGTGAATAATGGAGGTGTTTGTAAATGTCGGATAGCTCAAAGTATTACTCTTCATCGATGTCTGATGTCTGAAAGTTCAATACAGGAGCTTTGTATCAAAGTTGTTTTCCCTGCTTCGCCTCCTCCCTCAGGCCAGCTTGAAGTGATTATGGACCGGCGGTTGATGCAGGATGATAATCGAGGACTGGGCCAGGGCCTGAAGGACAACAAGAAGACAGCCAACCGCTTCCGACTGCTGCTGGAGAGGAGATCCACGGGCAACAAGGTCAGTAAGATGACAGCAGAGGCGGCTATTGAAGCTGGCTGAGCACCCTTGAAATTCCAGCGCATCACAACGGACTACGGTGCTAAATTGCTCTTTGAGCTAGCTTGTTGAATGTAACAGTGTTTTGTCCTTCATTCTGTGTTCATTAACACCTTTCTTTGTATCTTTTTTTTTCCTGTACTCATTACCACTTCATCTGTCTTTTTGTCATACTCTCCACTCTCTAATTTCTTTTCCATTCTCTTCTTTTTCCATTTCATTACCTTCAGTATGATGGCTTTTTTGCCAAACTCTACTCCTTGTTTTGTTCTTTCCTCTCCAAATTCTTGACTGACGGAGTTCAAGAGGTAACGTTGCCTTGGCAACAGTGGGGATGCTTGTTAGCTCGCATTGTAGTCTGCACTGTAGCTCCAGTTCCTATTTTTTGCTTCCCTCCATCTCATAGCCGTAGCCAAAGCGCTCCATCTTTACGACAGCACAATTGAAAGTAACAAATGATATCATTCATCAAGTAAATGAATACACATTGGCAGAGGAAGGAAGGCATTGGTTGCAGTTTTATCATCCAGTTCTGATGAAACTGCTGATGGTACTTGGGATGAAGTTGTTCGTGCCTGCCACAAACATCAGACATCATGTTTGAAGTACTCTTAATTTTAAATTTGACATCATAGTGCTTTTGCTGTTACAAATTCAATATAGATCGATTAGCACTGTGTCTGGACTAGAATTAGAAATATACCTCCTACTCTGACAAACTAATTAGAGCCTCGAGCATCTACAGTCGGGATCTAATCTATCTCTGCCCCCCTCCAGATGATGGACAGTGCAACAACGAGCTTCCCGTCGATACTCAGTCACATAACCAACGCCATCCTGAACCACGAGATCTTGGCGCTGCCCGTCCTGCCCAAAAGACGTGGCATCCCTCCTCTGCAAACCTTCGCCCCTCTCAAGTCCATCCTTCCTTGCGACTTCCACCTGCTGAACCTGCGCAGCATCCAGAGCCAGGTGACGAGACAGAAATGACGACATACGTGCTCATTTTGGCTTTTCGTATTTTATGTGTTGACTTTGAAACCAACGTGTGTGTGTGTGTGTGTGTGTGTGTGTGTGTGTGTGTGTGTGTGTGTGTGTGTGTTGTGTGTGTGTGTGTGTGTGTGTGTGTGTGTGTGTGTGTGTGTGAGAGCAGCAGGACCCCCACTCTCCATCTCCATACACAGCCATGATTCTTCACCGTCTGGCGCTGGACTGTGGCCTTGAGGCTCAGAACCTGGGTTTCAACTGCACCACCACACAAGGACAGGTCAGGGTAGAAACACACACACACACACAAAGCAGAGATTTGTTCGTTAGTGGGAAATAATAATCACACACTTAAACTTCGTACTTTGCTTAAATATTTCTGTTCTATGCTACTTTATACCTCCACTCCTCTTTATTTAAGAAGGAACAATTGTGATTAAATTTATTGACTTATTAGTGTTTAATAACGCAACACTCAGAGTGGATGTACTTTTACTTCTTACTTACTTTCTAATCTTCTTGGCCATCCTTCCCTTCTCGCCCTCTGCAGCTGAGTGTATCAGGACTCTTCAAGAACCTGGACCTGCAGCTGCTGCAGCCCATGTCCCTGACCCTGATGCACGCCGGCACGCCTCTGGCCAACGACTCCACCATCAGTCTTGATCCCATGGAGATCTCTGCCTTCAAGCTCAAACTTCGCTAAGAGCCGTCCGAACCAAACGAGGCAATAAAAACAGGCAGCAGACTCCTTGGACCAAGAACCAGGCCCACTCCGGGCCACAGACTGGCAACAGAGGGGTCTGGGTCTCTCTGTTTCGTCAAGCAGAACCACAAACACTAGAGCTCGGAGAGGAATGGTCCACTGTAACAGGACAGACTGCACAGCAGGGGGCAGGCGATAGCTGTTACTGTGGACGTCTCCGAGAGCAGTAAAACCCGGGTGAACTCGCAGCTGTTCCAAAACAACTGAGACTGCCAGAATCGCTCGTCAGATACGACCCAGTATCTGTTTATCTCTGTAATCGAAATGAAATCTCATTTAGTTCTGCTTTGTAAGAACTTGTGTCTTTTTTCTATCTTCGCTCCATCCTAGACTGAACTACTGAATGTAAATATCCCAAATGACGAGGGGGTTGGGACTTGTGCCACATCAGAGTGCAATTTACAAAGCTTTATTTGATGTATGGGTTTTTAATTTTTTTCTTTTTCTTTTTTTGTACGCAGTGAAGAAGTCACACATCACAGCAGTTTGTTTTTGTATCTATCAATCTAATGTTGACTGCAGTTAAATTTTGTTTACGACAGACTCGAATGCAGCAAAGAGAATGTGTGGTCTCTCCATCTCAACTCACCTGGAGACCCAAGCTGCGGCTCTTTGAGCTATTGTACGTCTGAGTCCAAGAGTCCCATGTTGGTCACTACGTGATAACAATGTGCTCATTAATCATATCGGATGACTGTTTACCTTCTGTCTGCTGTTTTTGCTTGTAGATAGTCTGAAGACCTTCACTCCCTCTCTTCTTTTTTTCCCTCTGCCTGAGCTTCCTTTTCGATGATGAGAAAACTGTGGAAGCACCTGTTTGTCATTCCTGTGCTATACCTCATATATACCACAGGGCAGATATATCTGTGTGTGTGTGTGTGTGTGTGTGTCTGCAGAGTATGTTGATGTGAATACTTGAGGTTTTTTTTTTTTCTTCGTTTGTGAGGGGGGGAAGAGGGGAATGTTGAGGTTACGGTGTTCACTATCAGGGACCATTCATAGTACTGTTAGGTATCATTGATCGGTTTGAGTGTCTGTGTCGAACAGTGGGTCACATCTAAAATCAGAAAAGGAGGCGTCCTGTTGAAGTACTGGACTTAAAGGGCCAGTTCAACCAACTTGCAAAAAAAAAAAAAAAGTGTTATTCGCCCACACAGATTGTTTTAGTTTGATTATTTCCATAAGTTAAGTTAATGTTTTTAACAAAAGTAGCAAATACTCATTTGAGAAGCTGAAATCAGAACATTTGGCCTTTTCACTTTGCACGTCCCCATCACTCTGGATAGAAGTGTCCCACATATATACCTCACACTAGGTTTTGAGTATGATGCATCTTCATGCTGGAACAGTGACCAAATTAAGTATTCTTTAAAAAAAAAAGAAAAAAATGCACACTAGAAAAACCCCTTATTTTTGAGTGTGCTGTTGATGTAAACTCTTGTGTGATAATGCATTACATAAAAGAGAATGAAGGAGCTGCTCACAGCTGCACTAAACTAACTGTGGTGAAACAGCTTTAGGAACACGTCCAAAAAAGCAAAAAAAAAAAAAAAAACTTGAATTTTGGAGAAACAGTTCTGCGTTGTGAAGTAGCTGGTTGATTGTGTTTGAGGGTGCACATGCTGCATCATATCCTGCTTGTATTAACCAGTGAACTATGCTGGTGTCATGTTTGCTAACTACAACATACTATAGCATACTATGAAGATCAGTATACTGTATAACTAACTAGTATGGATAGGACACAGCAATTGTCTCTGTGATAATTGCAAATTTCTGGAAAGAGATGATGCTGTTTATTTTTATTTTTTTAAATGTATTTTTTTTTCACTGTTCAAATTTCGGGAGATGGATTTCTCAGAACTTAAAAATAGGCTACATTCCACTAGAGTCGAAGAAGAAACTGTCTTATGTGTAATTTGGGTGAACTGACCCTTGAAAAATTGTTGGATTAAACCACACACAGGGATCCTTAACACAGAAGAAAGGAAGTTTCTTCAAATTTCAGGTCCACAGTGCTTCTTATCCCAAGGCGGTCTCCAGGCACTCAGCCTTTTTTTCTGGTGCATCTCTGCCTCCACAGCAGCTGTGGAGAATGTTGTCATGTGTCCAAAGCTGAGGCCGGACATTTCTCACAACCCACCTGTGTGTGTCACTTTGTACTGCGCCGCTATCGCACCCTGCCCCACTGTGTCCCATCGCTTTAACCGCTCATCTGCTTCATTTTTCCACAGGAGGTCTGCTGCTTTGTTGTGCTCCTCCTCTGGCCTGATGTCTGGTCTGCCATAGTTAAATATATCCTGTCCCCCCTCTTCTCTCACTGTGAGCACTGCAGACCCCCCCTCCCCTCCTCCGCTCCCCTCCCTTCCCCAGCTGCAGTTAACATTTCTGTCAGACCAGACTTCACTGCATCTTGAATTGCACTTTCTCCCTTGTCTTACAACCTTGTCATAACTTTCTCTCCTGCTGTTTCGGTATGCGTCAGAGTCTCTGTGTAAATGTCTTTTTTTTTTCTTTTCTTTTTTTTTTTTGAAATGTGATACCTGTTGTAGCGCTGTTTTTTGTTTGTTCAGAGGTAATATATGAAGGCACACTCTCTTCTGTATTTGTTCTTGATGGGCTAAAGCTGCAGTAGAACCACAGAAGAGATGGGGACTGAATAAAAATCAAAACACAAAGTTTGTCCTTATCTGAAGTGAATTTCATTTCCTCAGCCTTTTTTAATGCATTTGTGAATCTCTGGTGTGTTTTCGTGCTCGGCAGTAAAGAGCTTGATCAATTCTCCGTCAGTAGGGGGCAACATTGAGTCAATTTGAGCAGTACAGCCGAGCCTACAGATGCTGAGTGTTAAGAGATATCAGTCCTTGATATCGCCCCGTGATGTAAACCTGGGCAGGGTTTACATCACGTGGGGCGAACATGTTGAAGGCCCCGGTGACAGCTTTGAGAGGGAGTCGAACATGAAAAGAAGCGCGTCTTAGTTTGCACTACATAAAAATGGATCATGGACCGGCAGAAGAAAAAAGAAAAGTGTGGTGGCAGGGATGCCCCGAAGGCCTGAGAGCCATCACTGCACTCCTGTGTGGAAGAGTCATGGGGAGGGAGGGTGATGCCTGTGGAGGCACCCCAGGGACACACAGCCTCTGCATTTTTCTCCAGACTTTGCTGGTGCCGACTGTGTGTCTCACCTTTCTTGAGCTCAGCACAGAAAAGTTCTTTCATCCTTGAGCATCAGATCCAGCACAAATAGTCTCAGACCTGCTGGAATAATGAGTCTGGAACCTCAGTGTCCAGTTGATCTGAATATGAAATCTGCTAATGGGGAGCTGATATGTTGGTGCTGTTATTAATTGATCTAATATTTCTTGTTGCTAGGCCTAGTTAGTAGACAGCATGGGACAGTACATGACAGCTAATTAATACAAGCTAAAGAGCATACAAAAAACAAAAAGAAAAACATGAAAACCAATACACAGCTTACAGAATCATGTAATGAAAGTGTGACCGAGGAGATAAAAGGCTTTCATGCTCACCCCCCCCTCCCTTTTTTTTTTTTAAGAACATGAGCCCATTCACACACGTTTACTGTAACACATACAGTATTTATAATGCAAAGCATGCGGCACCCGAGTGGCACAGAATTGTGCAGCGAGTTCTCCCGGCAGATCTAATTATGGGCCACAGAATGAATGTACCTTCACCCATGAACCCAGTTACCAGCCTCTGTAGAGGGTGTTACAGAGGAAAGCTGCTAATGAACAAAGCTGCTACCGGAGATAGTTGACATTGTTTTCCCCACATGCATACAAACTGCTTCCATTTATATTAATTTAAACTTCAAGGGGCCACCATATTGAAGCTTGAGAAAATAGTTTGTTTGTAAGGCTTTTTTTTTTGGCAGCACGCTCACTGCAACTGGATAGCATGGAGACGACAGAATGCTGGCACCTTTGCACAGCTCAACGCCCAGAGTGAGGGTAGCACACTCGCAACAATGATATACAGCTATGAAGAAGTGATGGACCATCTGTTCTCTTGGGTTGCCTTTGTGTGTCAGGGGCTGAATTTAAGACGCACAAAAACATAAAAGTTTAAAAAAAATCTGGCAGGAGAGACACAAGCAGCACATCTATGCAACAGCCAAAGTCATTTTATTCCATCATGAAACTGATCTCCACAATATTAACATCCATTGTCAGTTAAATAAAAAAGGATATAAAACAAACATAGAAAATGCAATACAAGAACTCTTCATTTTTTAATCTCTGTCACCACTCTGGCCTTTACAGCCACAGGCTTTGATTCAGCTTGTGTTAGCGGCAAGTGTATACTGTTATCGATGTGAAATAAAGTATGTATTTGTCTTTCAATGTATGGTGCTCTCAAAAGAAAAGGGGAAAAGCTTTACCCTGATGACGACGTTCTGGGAGAGCAGCCCCAGAATCAATATATGCTCTGGGGGGAAAATGAAGAGAAAATAAACTTATGTCTCACCAGCAGTAACCAAGCAGAAACATGTTGTAAAGGTCAGCTAAGTGTTCTCTTAAATTTCACCCAGAAATAGTGTTGCACTGCTATAAGCCTGTAAGATTTTTTGACTGATACATCTGATGTGTCTGTGCTTCTGTGGCAGTTCCCACTGTGGCTTGATTGAAACAGAGCATCCTCCACACTTGTCTGCTTATCAAACAGCCTGCGGGATGTTTTGTTACGCCGTCCCAGCCCGCTGCAGAAATTTTTCTTTATTGTTAATGAGCATCGCGTCACGACCTCTGGCCCACAATCTAATCAAATGTAACAAAGCCAATTTATTCAGACAACCAGTGTTGAGGACAAATCAGATGCATATCTGATGAAGTACAGATTTAAAGGAGCACTTCACCCATCCTACACTTCAAATTCAGAGTACTCATTGCAGAGAGTACCCCATATAATGATATTGTCAGGGTTATTTTTGGCTTGGGCTCTGAGGCTACATTTTTTTTCAGAAAGACTGCAACACAAACCTGGAGTGTTGCGTTTGAAAGAAATAGGAATTTACCAGGCAGGAAGGATCTAACTAAAAACTCTATTGAGCTGCCTTATGGGAAATGTAGGAGTCTGTGTTTGTGGGGCTTTACTTGTACTTAGGACTAGGATATCTCAGGATTTCTCCGCCCCTGCTGCTTTGATTTTGACCACTTTGTAATAACTATCTCCTGCAATGCCCCAGCTTTAAGTAGTGGAGGAGAGGAACACTAAATTGCTTTCATAAACTGGGCAAAATATGGTAAAGTGCATCATTAAATTAAAACAAAGTGAAATAATTGAATAAACCCTTAAATTTGTGATGAAGAGTCAAATGATTAATAAATACATCTGACATCAAATATTAATCTAACTAGATAAATAAAGAAATGTAAATAAATAAATGAAAAACAAATGATGGACTCTTTAATGCAGTTGGACGGGGTGCTGATGGGACAGTAAGGCCTGTGTTTTGTGGCTGTAGGATTCTCCTTCATGTATCAGCTCCATACAGTCGGGTCTAGATGCTGGCGACACCCAGAATATCGTGGTGTCAGAAACCTCAACAGCAGATACAGGCTCAGCTAGATGGAGCTCTGCGTCTTGATAAAAGCTGTCCTCTCGCTGTGACCCTCCACTTCCTCAGCGTCTGATTCAGACTCGTAGGCGATCATGTCCTCGTCCCCCCACACAGTGGGGATCCCCTTGTAGCATATCCGTGTCTTCCTCCCCCGTCCTTGGCCAAAGCCAAAACCAAAGCCCACCCGCACCCCCCTCGTCTCTGAATACACAGAGGGCAGTTTGGTCCTCCAGCCCAAAGAAGTGCCACCTGAGCGCATCTGCAGCAAGAGGAAAACCCCGACGAAGGCAGCCAGGATGAAGGCACAGCTGAGCACTGCCACGACGACAGGTAGCTGAGTGGACGGAGCTACGCTGAGCCCTGGGGGTTCCTCACCTTCTCCACTGTTGTCGTCTACTGCTGCTGTGATATCCCTGTCTGGCTGGGCTCTGTCACCCTGGAGCCCCCCAGCTAGAGGGGATTTGCGCTGGACCTGGTTCTGGTGCAGGCAGGAGGTGAGGACCAGGTGGCTGTGAGGTGGGCAGGACAAGCAGTCTGTAGGTCCAATTCCAGAGCAGGTGAGGCAGGCGGGGTTGCAGGGCAGGCAGGCTTGGACGGAGGACAAGTCCACCCAGTTCTCCAGGGAAAGGTTGAGGAGCTGCGGCCCAGAGGTGAAGCCCGGCGGACACAACTTCACACAACCCTGGAGGAAGAGGGAGAAGCCGGGGCTGCACTCTGGATGGAGAGATAGTTTCCTTAGAAGAAAGAATCTCTCAAAAAACTATTATTGTTATTATCGATTAATCTGCTGACAATTTTCTATTAATCAAATAATTGTTTGGTCTATTAAAGGTCAGAAAATTTGTACAATATAAGATATATATATATATATATATATATATATCTTAAATATATCTATATATCTTATATTTGTATATATACGGTATGTTATATATATGTTAATATGTTAATACAAATATAAACACCACACACACACACATAATATATATATATATATATATATATATTATGTTAAATACAAATATAACATATATATATATTTGTATTAACATATAATACATATATATATATATAATATATATATGTTCTATATAGTATTATTATAAATATATTATTTTCCAGGGCCCAAAGTGGTGTGTACTTTTAGTATAGTATTTTTTAGTATTCACAGCAATGAAATAGATTAATTTTCTGTTGTTTGACTAATGAATTAATCAACTAATTGTGTCAGCTTTAATGGAATCTGCTACTAAATATAAGGAAATTAAAAAAAAAAAAGAAAAAAAATATAGGGTTAGATAACAACAGCTGTACATATCAATTGGGTAAAGTCTATAAGCAGGTGTGGATTTCCAAAAACTGTTAAAATATTAATGACTGAAAAAAGTGAGATCTAATTAAACTCATGTAAATACTCCCTTATTTGTTAGAAAGCTTATTATCTACATTTGTGAAATTGTATATCTGCCTGTAATTTCATTTAAAACAGTCAGGACAGTTAATTTGTTAAAAGAAGGCCACAAGTAGTAAATGGAAATTGTAGCGGATTGAACATTGTGCCCTTTTCTCTCTAGAACTATCACCAAATTACTAAATTCTTTCCGAGAACCTTGAGTGTTAAGAAACTTATTAGAAATCTGGGGACTGGTAAAATTAAGCATTAGTGGTAATTAGTGAAATAATAGATTTGATTTGTAGAAAAAAGTGTCTGAATGCTCAGAAGCGCAAAGAAGCTCCCAACCTCATCTGCCTTTCAATGAGGGAGTCATCCACTTCAGCAGTTGTTGACAACGTAGCACCTTTTTCACTGACGCAATTTTAATCTCCCCTGCTGCTCCTCCATACGTCCCACACCATGATTCAAACCAATACGACATATGGCAACGTGCATATTCACAGCGTGTGCAAACAGATGCACGAGAGGCTTGTGTAGCAGGCAATCTGTATTCACAACATTCGCTTTTCACAAGTTAAAATACTCAACGCAGTCTGACCCAGAGCCTGTTTTGTAACAATGACTGCGTGCCAGCGCCAATACAAATGAGCCCATTCAACTTTAGTGGCTCCCGTTCAAAGTTTGTGTGTCAGCGGAAACTCGTAAGATCTCACCGATACAGATCTGCTGGGCATCGAAGGTCTTGCAGCTGTTGTTGGACGGCCGAGGGAAATCAGATGATGAGGGGTTGACAACGCTGGGTCCAGTGCCCCACAGGATGAGGGTGAACTGATTCAACACACCTAAAAGAAAAGAAAAGGAGAGAGAGAAAGAGAGGGAGGGAGAAAGAGAGAGAGAGAGAGAAAAATGAGGGAGGTGGGGAGTATTAAGATATGGAAGAGAATATCAATGATGAGGATGTGGGAGTGGGAGGAAAGGAAACAAGAGATATGAGCGGACCAAACACAACACAGGAGGAGGATCAACACCAGCAGAGGAAGAGATGCATTCCCATCTCATTTCCCCTGCTGCTCTGGGTAAACACGGCCACAAGACAGCTCTAGGACTTAACGAGTTAACTCCTCATGACAATATGCTGCCGTTTGCCTTTCGAGAGAAAAAGCAGAGTGACTGTTGGAAAAAAAAAACAAAAACAAAAACAAAAAAAAATACATTCTCATGATACCCAAGTTTTGCTAATCAAAAGGTTGCACACAAACTTTCTTGCAGAAGAAACCCTCTCTGCCCAGCAGCTGTTAAGTTTTAATCTGGATGTGTTTCGGAGAGCAGCTCCCCCCGGAACCAAAACTGGTACAAACTGCGTCATTAGAGAAGGAATGTGACAGAAAAAAAAAACATGGAGAGGCTATTTAGAGAAGCAGGAAAAAAAGACAAGACTTGAGTTGATGAGGGGGCACTGAATGCTGGCATAAATGTAGGCTTGATGTGCCCAGACTGAACAATTAATGATGGGGAGTGGGGTTACCATAGTCACGTCCATTAGCCGCTGCGTTTTCTATTTCCAGGGTCCATTCCCCTTGAGGATCCTCGTCCCATGAGTGGGTGGTCATAAAAGCCCAGTCGTTGAATCCCTCTGAGGAGAAATCATTGGGCCTGAAAGAACAGAGGAGAGGCGACGTGCTTGTGTTACTTTTTCTGGGCTCAAATGCAGAAAGAGTGGGGGGTGGGGGGGGGGTGGTTTCCCCCAGAGAGCATGCTTTCGAGTCTTTGTGCACAAGTTAAATTATGGTACATGCATATTGTGTTTGTTTGTGTGTGTGAGGCAAAGAGAGATTTATATCAGGGCTTGGCTGCTGGTGTGTATAGTGGCGTGTTTTACAGTGTACCTGGGGAACAGCAGGGTGGAGCGTGTGCCCAGTGGGCTGATGAGATGAATGGCCAATTTTCCTCTCTGGTTGTGGGTGAGAGTGAGGCGAGCCTGAACGTGTTCCAGAGAATTGACATACTCCGGTCGTCCCCAGCAGGCATCCACGCTCTTGCTGAACACCAGCTTGTTGCCGATGTCTCTGCAGGTTTGACAAGCGGAGGGGGGGAGTGGTTAATCTTGTGTGGCTGCAGAAATGGACACAGACAACAGCGCAGTGCTACAAATTCACACAAGCGTTCCGGCTCCGAGGAAGACTGTGGTGGCATCTATCAGGCTGAGCGGCATGATGGAACAGCGAGGGCTCATAATGAGACTAAAACTTACTGCAGTTTACACACACACACACACACACACTCCTGGTCACACTTCTAACCTTGGCTCTGCAAGCATGGTGTGAACACACTGATGCTGTGGCCCCACCGTTGTCCAGTTCTGCGCCAAAGCCACCATGGCACCAGCATCCAGGAGCCCATAACCGTATGAATGACTCACTGTGAAAAAATAAATAAATACATGGAGGGGTAAAGAGAATGGCAGGTTTGTGGTGGTGGTGAGAGAGAGAAACTGGCACCAAAACAGCCAATCGTGATTCACAAATGGCCAATTTTACCCCAATCTTCTGACTGGTTGAAACTGTACCACACTGTAATGCTCTGTCTGGTTGAGCGAGTGCTGTGTGGGCAAAGCATCCAAAGGTCTGGGAGTAACAACAGAGTAGGGAGTCTGAGACTAAGTGAGGGAGGTTATTATTGTGTGCCTATGTGTATCGAACCAAACAGGAAAATAAATTTACTGGGAACAGAATAGATTTTTGTTTGCTAAAATTGAATTATTCTTCTTAGTGGTAACAGTTTCTCTATAAAATATTAGTCATGTGCTTCCAAAGAAAATCTTTTTTTCTGGACTCCATCAAGTGCTCAGGATTGAGGCACAAATGTAACATCATATGACACTTCCAGATCGCCAGCCTCTACCTCTGCGTCCCACTCCGTTGGTCTTCCAGTCTCCGGCGCTGAGGTGTCCCGGCCGGGACGTTCTCACCACCAGGTGTTGCATGTCCCTCCAGGTCAGGTTCATACTGCACAGGTACAGGCAGGAAAGCAGAGCAACCGTATTGACTTTCTGTCATCTAATAGCTGAAGATATTACTTTTTACATTATGCACATTATGAGAAAAGTCAGGTGTCGCCGACCTCAACTGTATGACAATACCGCAGAGGACATACGAGGAGCCTGTGGACATGCCTGAAATATGATGCAGCTGAGCATATATAGGAATGGATAGCTATACATTTCTGAAATACTATACTGAGATGTAGAGGAAGCCCAGAGGGATATGTCAGTCAACAATGACAAAAGTACAAGCTCGCATTAAGGTTGTAACGTCAGCGTAAAACACCAGTATTAAAGGTACATCATAACCTATTGTGCTAAGGGAACACAGTAAAACAGTGGACACAATACCGTGGAGGGCTGTGTCTAGACTCTCTGTAATGATAGTTTCTAATGAGGTCTGGGACTGGGGAGATGGGGTCACCTTCTGAAGCCCAATAAATTTCTCCTTTTTTTTTTTTTTTTTTTTTTTTAATATAGATTTATTTGGAGGCACGGTGGAGAAGCAAACGTCTGAACAGCGTTTAAGTCACCGATGGGGAAAAAAAAAAACCTGCTCTGTGGGTTAAGATAATCAAATCATGCATCACTGCTTACTGAGCGCAACACCACAGTCGACAGAAATAGACACAGAATTGCACTGTGGCACATCACCTACGCCAGTCTCTGCATCAGCATTCACATCTCACATCCTCTTATGTGTTATTAATGGACAAGACACACCCCACCTTCCCTCCCTCCCTCCCTCCCTCCCACACACACACACACACACACACACACACACACACAATTCACAATTCACTCACTGTCACCTCAGTCAAGAACGAATGGGAGAAAATAATAAAATAATAAAACACCAGAGCGTCAAAACACTCTGCCTATTAAATGATTCCATCTCTGTGAATTCCAATGTGGTCCCAGTCTGATAAACTAGCTACCCTGTTATTACTGCTGCCTGTCAGGAGGGGTGCAGATATGTGCGTGTGTGTGCGTGTGTGTGTGTGTGTGTGTGTGTTTGGGGGGTGGGTGGTGGGTGAGGTTGCTCACTGACAAATACTGACTCTAGTTTACTGTTGAAAGTGACAGATAGTCTACATGGTGTAAACCTGAGCTCTGTGAGGTGAGTCACTGCCTTTCTCTTATGATATTAGCGGTGACACCTGTCAGCTAATAACTAATGTGGAAATGAGGAGAGTTATGCAGAGCAGAGGGGTGCAGCCTGATAAGAGGACCTAACACACACGAGATTCGACTATAATGGACAACAGAGTAGAGCTGCTGACAGAAACTTGGATTCTGACATCTGGAGTCCTGAGTGAACGATAATGAGAGATATTTTGGAGTTGAAAATCTTCACTACCGGCCCGACAGGTATTCGCACTTCTATGCGGGCTGCAGCTGCTGATTTGTCTTGCTAATTAACTGATTATCAAAAGCTTAGTTTGCTGAGGAAAAAATTTCTAGACTGGGATTCATGCCAAAGCCAACTCCCATACACGACTGCACGCACATCCACACACACACACGCACAAACACACACACTCATAAACAAGCACACGGTGGAGCTATCAGATGAGGTTTACAACAAAATGAAATTAAAAAATCTTTACTGCTATGATTTTCTAATGTGAAATCATATCAAGTACAAAAATAGCTATGGTGGTTACAGGGAGAGGCTGTGTTGCTCTCACTTACTTGGCCTCCAGAGCCAGAGCGATGATCCCAGCAGCCAGTGGGGCCGAAGCGGACGTCCCTGTGTGAGAGTCTGTGCATTTTTGCCTCAGGTCCGTGGTCACCTTGGAGACAGGAGAAGAGAGAGAGGAGTGCACAGAAATACAGAGGGTGAAAGACAGTTAATATTACATAGTGAGTTTTCCCACTTCAGCATGTGTGAGAAGCACAGCGCGAGGGGGTTGAGTGTTAAGACAGGGGATGACCGGGGACAATGGGAGCTCTGCCTGCAGCAATCGGATATGGAAAGAAGACGGAGGAGGAGGAGGAGGGGGCGTAGGAGAGAATGAGCAGGTAGGTTCAGTCTCAGGTCTATGGATCACTGCCAAAGGGTCACAGCCGGGGCAGTGAATGTCAGCCAAATCAGCCCAGCCAGGTCGGGTGGTGGTGAGACAAAGTATGTTAGCACTCTGGGTATACCTCTGCTCTTCGTCTCTGCCAGTGCCAGCACGTTAATGAGGCCTGTCTGGGTCATGGTGAGGACATGTCAGAAATGACAAAGAAGCCACAGGGTAAAGCGAGCTGTGAAGGTTAGGGACAGATTCTTGGTTTGCAACTTTTGGCCTGACAGATTGTGGCACTAATGACCATTATCTGCAGAGAGACGTCTACGTGTCAGAGGAGTAAACAAAGGGAGGGCAGGTGTCAACGCTGGCCGACTATTAGATCTCAAAATTGGATAAAATAACACTGAAACACTGTCATACTTCATTCACTGTTTTCATCGCACTCAATGATTTAGAGCTGGAACAAGTAATCTATTAGTCAAATAGCAGACGGTTGTCAGCACTTTTAATATTGAAGTTATCGGTGAATTCAAATATGTGATGGTTACAGCTTCTCCAGCATGAGGATATTCTGGGCTTTGTACTGTGAGTAAAAAAAAAAAAAAAAAAAATCAACAGTTTACCCTATAATGAAAATAATAGATGGTTGCAGCCCTACACTGATTATGTTTTTACCTTTGCAAACATATTTGCTGAAGCAATTAGTTACATAAAGTTATTAACCAAGCCTTTTCTAACTGCTCAGCAGCACAGTAACAATCAGTTCTGTAATTGTGCAGACTGATCATCTGAAATCCAAATTTTGAGAAATTACAATATAAACTAATTGAATATCTGTTTTTGCTACAATAATAACACTGTATCAAGCCCGATGCCTTGAGGGGCAATTAGTGAACTTTGTATTTTTTGCCACACTGTGGAGATGTGTTTAGCTTTACAAACAGCTACATTTTATTCTTTCTCGGGGTGAACACCAGACAAGTTTAATTGCAACACCAAGTGCAGACAAGGCCATTAAGCCTGGTAAGAGATGCTGGAAGCCACTTTTGTTTTTCTCTGGCTCTCCTTTGCAAAATCCGTAACCTCAAGAGATGAAAAGTGACCAAATCTGTCCAGTAAATGAGCTACTTGTTAGTTCATGTCGAATTTATTTAAAAGCCTGGTCTGCTTGTGATTTGACAGTCTAGACACAAATGTGGCAAAAACAAAAGGCTGACAAAGAAAGAAAGAAAGAAAGAAAGAAAGAAAGAAAGAAAGAAAGAAAGAAAGAAAGCCGCATGAACTCACTGATACAACAAATGACAGCCTCTGACTGCTGCAGCAACAACACAAAGCCACGACGGTGTGTTGGTATATTTTAAAATGACTTCAATTTTACCCATTTGATGAGTTGTGTTTGCTCGCCGGCAGCATGCCTCTGGTGTATTTTGAAGGGAATGGCAGATTTGTGGTTGTTTAATGTTATTGTATGTCCCTGAGGCAAGTCTTTCTTCAGCTGACAAGCAGCTTGAAGGAAGCGTGTGGCATCTCTCAAAATTTGTCAGCTTTCCTCACTGTATGTTACACACCACTCACTCTGATTCTGACAGTTTGATGCCTATTTTTGATTTGAGAGAGAGACAAGATTAATATGGACGTACACTCGAAAAGGTGATTGATAAAAGCAGAGTATGAGATGTATGGTTATTTTTCACAGTGCTGACATTTACAGTGTGCTAAAGATTTAAAGTGTAAAAACAATCCTACACATTTGAGATGTTCAAAGCGTGTGTGTGTGTTTGTGTGTGTACGTGTGTGTGTGTGTGTGTACACCCACTATCTGTTTCTCCCCCGGGTTTCCAGAGCTGAAGGTGGAAGCGAGGGTGGAAGAGCAGGGCTCGCTGTACCACGGCACGTTGCCGGACTGCGTGGTGCTGCTGATGGACAGGGTGTAAATGCTGTTTGTGTAGCCGTCACAGTTACAGCTGTCCTGCTCCCGGCCACCATTACCCGAGGCCCAGACGAAGATGGAGCCCAGTCCGCTGCGTCCCTGCGGCATGAAAGTAGATATATGTTCATTCAGTTGCAATCCACATGCTGCACATTAAGAGAGGAAGAAAGAGAGAGTAACACTCAGTTGAGCGAAGTGTGAAAAATGGCCATTGACAAAGACGTTTGTCTCGCCGCTTAAACGACTTGTCATTTATGTGCTTTCTTCCAGAAATACTGAACCGCTGAAGGCACAACTCTTATTAATACATCATAATATCAGCCGGCTTATTGCGGCAGAACATCAGATAACAAATAGAAGAAATGTAATTACAAAATCTACTCAAGCTGAATATAATTTAGGCCTGATAAATGACAACATGATATCTGGCAGTGAGACTGTATGCTCCTAAAATATACCAACTACATGAGACACACATTTAGTTCAGTTAGGTCGGGACTGCCAGCAGCCGGCTAGACATCTTGGGGTGGTTTATGACTCAGAATAAAATTGCACTAAACGTTTTTTTAGCAAAGTAACAAAGGTTGTCATTTGTCAAATCAGGAGCATCGCTAAGATTAGACTGTTCCCTGCGTTCCAAAACACACAAACCCTTTTTCATGCATTTGTCTCTGGCTGATTAGATTACTGTAACTCTTTCTTTGCTGGAATGCCCCAGGAATTGATGGAGCACTTTCAGCTTGTACAAAACAAGTGGAAAATCTGTGCACTTTTTTTTTATAATCAGTTTTGGCCTCCCTGCACTACTTACCTATGACCTTGAGGATTGATTTTTAAGTTTTACTGCTTATTTTTAAGGCATGGGTTGGTCTGCCCCCTTCCTACACAGCTGACCTTCTCTTCTCACTACACTGCAGATTGTAGCCTGGGGTCTGCTGACCAGTTGATGCCAAGTGTCTCTGGGGGCCAGGCTGGAGACAGAGACAGAGGGCAGCAGGGCATCTGCTGTCAGGGCTCCACAGCTCTGAAACAGCCTCTGGGTGGAGAATGACTTCAGTTTTCTTTTGTTAAAGTCTTACAGACTTATTGCTTTAATTTGACCTTAATTAGTGTAACCTTTACTGTCATGTTTTATTGCACTTTTCTTCTTTCAAACAATATATTTAGAAACATTTTTTTTCTTCTTTGTTAGATTTAATCATCTCTTTGTCTTTGATGTGATCTCATGTGAGATACCAAATAAATCAAGGTATCTTTATTGTTATATTTTACTCACAACTTACATTTCCATTCGGCATCCATTACACCCTGCCATTCAAAAGTCAGTTAAACACTAAAACGTGACTTTTTCATCAAAGAGTGAAAGCTGCAATGCAGTCACTGTGATGTTCAGAATAAAACCGAAAGATTAAAACTCTTCTTCTTGTACCTAGTTTGAACCAAAGTGGGTGGATAACATATTCATTTTAGAGAACAAAACATGGAACCAAGAAATACATATGGTGAAGGAAAGAGATAAAATAAAATGGAGGGACCTCTCTTACATCCCACGTACAGAGCAGAAACGCATTGCTGATGGTGAGAAAGAAATTAAAAAGGTGTGAGAAAAGAAATGTATACCATTTCACCCACATACAAAAAAAACAAAACAAAAAACGTGTTGTTTTCAGTCACGGTGATATAAAAAGCTGCAGGAATGGAATGTTTTGCTTCTCCCTTTGTTAAAGATTGTGGTTGTCTGTCCATTCTGTTCTGTCTGCTTGAGTCCTGTCACGTCCTCAGTTTCAGTGTTGGTGGTGTCTGGGCAAATACAAAGATACTGGAATCTTTAATTCCTTATCACTGTTGTTGCAACACTGTTTTCTCTGGCATGGTTTTCATTTGCTAAGTGTACAAAAGTGGCCTCAATTTGACACGAACACAGACTTTAAATGAGCTTGTTTTTAAAAGGATTATCCATTTAGTTTTCCTACATGTCCATCTCACAAATGACCGCTGTTCAGAAATTGGGATAAATGCTCTACATCGTACTGTATCCTAACAGTAGAGCTGTGAAGCTGTAGCTTATACTCCTAAACCTTCCAGCCCAATTTATGACCCGACGCTGCCTTTTCTGCAGGTTACAGAGGACAGATGATAACACTTCAGTGCCACGGGTTATCTCACTGCCAGAACACACGCTGAATCAGAAAGGTCCTGTTGTGCTGCTGTCAGGCAATTTTTCCTCACTAACGCACTGTGATATGTGGAGCATTTCACATTTTGGGATATGATATATGAATCATTCTTTTCAACCTAAAATTTGCAGTTTCATTCATTTCCACGCCAATTACTGTGGCCTTTGAATCTAGCTATTGTTCTGCATCAGTGACTGTGGCTCCATTTCTATTTTGTTCCATCTCACATTTATCATTTAGCTGTTCCGCTGACGTCTTTTGATGTAGCAGTGCTTAACCATGAGATATGATGACTTTAGCCTCAGATCATATGTCATACTCTTTAATGTTTGACTCTGTCCAACTCTAAAGGACTTGTCACAGAGCAATTAACAAACTCACCTTGAGTTTGTCCTTTTCTACACTACACCTCACAGATAGTAATGATACAGTATAATTTTGGAGGTGGAAAATGTTCACAACAGGCTAATATTTTATGAAGCAGAACAACAAACTTTTGACTTTTGGGAAATGTGCTTTTCGCTTTCTTTCGGAAACTTAGATGGGAAGGTTGATACCTCTCTCATGCTTGTGCAGTAAATATGAAGCCGGAGCCAGCAGCTAGTTAGCTTAGCTTAACATAGAGAATGGAAACAGCTTGCCTGGCTTTGTGTACTTGTGCACCAAAACCCGCGTACCAGCACCTCTAAAGCTCAACTATGAAACTGTCACATCTCATTCGACAAATGAAAGTTTTACAGTGAATTATTTGCCTACTTGACTATTAGTTGGCTGGGTCCTGTTGATAGGCTACCGCTGGAGACTAGGAAGTTATCTTGTGTTGTGTCTAAATCTGTTTCCCCATCGATTTAAGTTTCTCTCCACTGTAACCTGAGCCCAAACTGAATCCCAACCAGTTATCTCTGCAATATGCCTAACTAGAATCAAACCCACGGCCTAACCCCAACTGTAGAGGGCAAAGGTATGGGAAACACTGTTTGACACAAAAATGGCACACAACTGTAATGACACACCCACACATATATTTATACATACACACACAACATATATACGGGTATAGGTGGACGTGTTTACCTTTGGACAGAGCTAGGGTGGCTGTTACTCCCAGTTCCCAGTCTCTACACTAAGCCAAGCTAACTGGCTGCTGGCTGTAGATTTAATCTTCTCATCTACAGTAACTCTCAGCAAGAAAGCAAATAAAAGCATCTCTCAAAGAGTCTAAGTATTCCTTTAAAGAGCTGATGTGAATTTGATAGTGATACTATAAATAAGAAACAGGAAGATATAACATGATTAAAAGCCAAAACTTATGCTCGGACTCACCTTTGTGATTCCTTGGAGGAAAGCCTCCTTAGCCAGCTTGGCAGGGCCGTCCAGGGACTTGCCATCGTCTTCTGGGCCCCAGCTGGCGCTGTAAATGTGGATGTGCTGAGGGTTGAGACTAAGGGAATGGGCCTCCACCATGTCTGTCACCTCTCCATCCAACATACGAACTCCTGTAAAAGGAACACGAAATACAGTGCAGATTTGTTTACCAAACTAGAGATGTGAAAAGTGGTGGAGATAGAGTCAGAGTGACAGATGATAAAGAGATGGTGAGTGTATGAATTTTAGCTTCAAATAGATGGAGAGGTGTCAAAACTAAGATGACAAGAAGAGAAAGCTTGTCATAAAAAAGAGTGAAAGAAATCAGTCAGACAGCAAATTCCCATTTCATCTCCAGCCACAAAAACAACAACAATAAAACAACAACAACAAAAAACCCCCAAAAAACCCAGAAAAAATGGGAACAGCAACAATAAAAGACTTCACAGGAAAAACCAAAGGCTTCAGAGAGATCCAGTTTTAATGAGTAAGTGTGCAAAGCTTCACCCACAGATGTGACCCTGACAGATACTACACTATTTTACCACCATCTAAACAAAATACCCTGCTGGTTGTTAAACCTAGAAAGACCATTTACTGACTGCACCAAACACACAGAAAGGACAAATCTAACAGACAGACTGTAGAAGAGAGAAAGACGCACGCACACACGCACGCATGCACGCACACACACACGCACACGCACACACACAGATATAAATGAACTGAGAGTTTACAGAGCCTTCAACACACTGGTGTGTCCACAGGGTAACACCAAATGTCACCTTTCATCATACCTGAACGCAACCCTTTGAAGTGAGCAGCCTCAGATCAGTCCTCTGAACTAAATAATCCAAAATACGGTCCATTACTGGAAGAGGAACCCCAGACCTCAGAGGCAACACTACGACTGATGACGTCCACATTAAGACTTCAATAATCCATTCTAGATGACCCTGGCTGGCCCTGTAGCCACACACACATACCAGCAGGAATGCTGCCAAAACAGTAATTACTCTGTTCGCGTGGGGATTTGCCATAACACAAGTTTGAATACTGAGCAGCCTGGGAAAAAAAAAAAAAAAACATAACTGAGGAAAGCATGCGACATAAAGCACAATGTTTGCTCTAGTGGTCATAATGCGCGGGCTGCATTGCAGCAGTAATGATGATCACTGTTGTAACAATTCTCATCAACTTCCTGCTGCTTGACGATTCCTTATTAAGACACTGCTGTGCGAGTTCCCTGCTGCTCCACTAAGTCAGAGGTAGAAGGCAGAGATGCCGCTGTATTTGTGTGTGTGTGTGTGTGTGTGTGTGTGTGTGTGTGTGTGTGTGTGTGTGAAAACAGGTACAGGAGGTGGAAGGAAACACTGAGTGAGCCAAGTAGGGTCGATTACAGGCTTTAAACACTAATCGCTAGTCATTGCTCAGTGAGGATACACACATTTAGGCGTCCCAACAAACATAACCGCTTATGCTCACATGTGCATACACACGTAGCATGGGTATTTGGGAGCAAATCACAGCTGTTTATAAACAATCCACTGACCCCATGATCACATTCACAGAGGAGTAATTTATGAGATCAGGGCCAATGCACAGCTCTGTCGGGAGATGAATGGTAATGAAGACAGAGAAGGAGAATTATGAGTAACATCTGTGAACGGGACTGAATGGGACTGCTCAGGGCTCCGCTGAGTCTTGTTGGCTGCCACTGAGTCATTGACAGATTGTTTGGTGACAAAAGTTACTAAAAGCCTCCTTGGAATACTTTGTCAAGTGCACAAATTTTTAGGAGAAAAAAAAAAAAAAAATCCTTTTTCTCCACATATCTTCTTTCTTAACGCATATCTGCACATGCTGACAGCTTTATTACTGTTTAAACAGGAGCCTGCACTAACAGTCTTATTTTTGACCAGCTTTTCAGGCAGATGATTTACACGGTGGTATGAACAGATGTCCACTGGGTTGTGAAATCAGTTTCCTTGGCATCAGTATAATACTAAATTTAGGTTGTTTCCTTATCACTAAGGACACAACAAAACACTTTAAAAATTGAGCTTGCTTTTTATCTAATTGGTGGAAGAAAGACTGGAGTTTCAGGCAAAGTGCCAAATAATGGTGGGATGAATTATAACGTGTGCTGGTTTGAATTAAGATCAGAGTCACTCTGTCAGAAACTTAAATTTGACATCTGCTCGCGTTTGAGACATAATCTCCATAATGTCTTGAAGATGAGGCATTTAACATGTTCGCAGCTGTTTATATCTTTATATCATACATGGTAGACACAGTTTTTTTTTTTTTTACAGGTACACACAACAATCTTAAGGAAGCTAGGAAGTCATTTCCTGTGAAAAATCTGTAGAAAGTTATCTTTTCTTCTCAGTGGTAATCAATCAAGGACAGTCCATTGTGTGCGCTTGTCTGTCTCTGCAGCACTTTCACTTGCGAACAATAGAGTCAGTCAGTCGGTGTAGTAGTAGTGTCAGTGATGCAGACAAAAAAAACATTATGGATATCAAATTAAAATCCATTACTGGGTCTATAATAAAATAATGGAGACACAGCTAAATCTGTGATTCTGATTCAGGTCCCAGATTAAAGGGATCCTATCTGAAAGAAATTCACTTCTACGTTAATTAGTTTGAATATTATTGTGCTTATTATTTCAAATTAAAATAATAATCTTAAACTCATTTACATTAATAATATTTCAAATTAAACAACGTTCTCAACAAAAAATTCCCAAGGGTATGCTTCACTCACCTCCAATTTTAGCATTATAGGCCACGCCCACACCACACACACCGTTGTTGGCTGCGGCTGCAACTTCCCCTGCACATCGAGTTCCATGTCTGGGGAGAGAGAAGAGGGAAAGACAACGTGCATGAAAGAAAAGCAGTGAGAAAAAGAAGAATATTAAAAAGACACACTTTCCACATCAAGTGGGAGCATGGTAATTATTCAACTAACTGTTGAATGTTTAAAAAAAAAAAACCCCCAAAAAAAACCAAAGGGAGTTCTTTTTTGTTACACTCTGAACTGTGCTGGGCTTTTAAACAATACTGTAGCTGAAGTGCTGCTAAAAATACACGGCAGTCAGAGGAGAAGGATAAACTCAATGGCCCGTTTTGTAACTGCAGCCGACTCGTGTTAGAGTTGTAACAATAAGTGCCAGGAAGCCTGATGTTCCTTCCCATATTAAATAGTTTTAGAATTCAAGGCTAACCTATAAGGGATGAACAGAGAACAGCGACCTTCATTGTGAACATAATGTGCAATGAGAAGTATTAACAAGTAAAACATTTTTTTCCACACAGCACAAAAAGTATCAAGCAACACATTCAGGTGTAAAGACACAATCATATAACGTCCTTACCACGAATCAGACTTTAGGGACATTTGTATCAGAATCTGATGACAATTGTGGGGTGGTTTGCGTCCGTTACCACCACTCTCCATCAAATCTGATAAAAACACACCTGTAGAGTCCTAATGAAGGAGCAGACACGTTGAAGTAAACTGTCAATAAACCAGTTTTCAGGGGTTATAAGTAAAGTTTACCAATTTGCTCATGGATAAATGTTTAGGCCTTCTATACTATATCACAGCATGTACAAGTTTTGAGATCTATGTACTGCAGCTGTGAGACACAGAGACCATAGTTAATATACAGTCCAAAATCCTCCTCTGTGAAACTCACCTACTTCAGAGAGCTCCTTTTTTTTATAATATTGGAAATCTCTTCTCCTGTTGCACAGGCTACAAAGTCACAGCATACAGACTCTTCCAATCAAAGATGACCTGTCTAAAACTAACTTCACCTTGACAGTCACTAGCCAGAGGACATCCAAACCAGATATGAGATGTTATCGATGTACATGAATTATTCACTGAGTCTCTCATAAATGCTTTAAGACCAGTCTTGACTCTTGAGTTTCATAGAAAAGACAAATTCCCTATAGAGCCCTCTCTAGATGTCAAATACACTAAAACTCTTCACAAATGAAAACCACTCCATCTCCACAAATGAGCTTAATCAACTACAGATCCATGAAAATGAAAAGTCTACACTGAAACCTTTACAGCTTTGTATCATTCCAGGCAAAAAAAAAGAAAAAGTAATCATTAGTGAAATGGATTTAATTTGTTGGGCTGATTTCTGGGGCTGAAGCGGTGCGATCAGACTGGAGAATGGATGGCATGGAATGAGCATTTGGCATTTAACATAGGTCATTAAGATTGTCTCCTGATTACAGTGCAGATATCTGATTAGGAGGGGCAGAGTTTCACACCTGTCTCAGAGACGTGCTGTGCGAATGTTATTGGAACAACGCTAATTACATCCACACTGTTTTGGAAGTGCTGAAAATTACTTCCTTTTTGATCTCCCAAGTTCCCTGATGATGAGGCAGAGGACAAAGTCATTTCACAGGGTCAGAGCACAGCTACGCCTCCAGCTGGGATCCTGATTAGACTCTGTGTAGCTCTGTGATATACTACCCACCCGCTAATTCTCTGCTTTGTTCACTCTAAAACATTTTAGCATGAGATGACTGCTTTCTTCGGTACTTTTTTAGTTTACTACTTCAGCTTTACAATGTCAAAGAGAAAAACACAGAACAAAACTAGAATTACCGCCTTGTGGTCATATGCATCTGCCAACCAGTCAAATTGCAGGAAATATGGTCACAATCTCCCCTACTGTTCCTGAGTTACAGTGTTGAAAAATGGTAGTGTTGGGAAGTAGTGAACTACATGTAATTAAACTAGTAATTTAACTACATTTTGCAGTAACTTGCTGGTAGCTCAGCTAGTTTCATATGTGCACAGTGATTCAAGTTGTTAAATTACTTTTTTTTGCCATTTTTTGAATAGTTAACTACTGAAACTACAAACGATTTTTGGCCATGAAAGGAAAGTAATGATTTTTTAATTGCTATTTTACCATAGCTTCTCTACTGTAATTGAACCCCTTTTGACAAGCCCTGCTTCCGTTTTCTTTCATCCTGACCGTTGTGAAGGCATGCCCGTGCCCCCGTGCATGTGTGAAAGCCATGGGCGGGTGGTAATCAGTGCTCACACAACATCATCACGGATAAATCTCCTGAATCTCAGCCTGGAGGAAGAATCACCGTGGCTGTACTGAAGCAGTTACTGGATGCAAAACCAAAGCTGACATTCCTTGCACTCTCCCAGAAATAGTGGGGTATTTTAGTTTTTTGGTTTATGTTATGACCTGTGAAGGCATTTTTGCAATAAACTGTAAAGTATATTTTGTTATTATTTGTTATTTTGTATCACATGTATGTTGTCCATTTGATTTTTTTTTTTTTTTTAATTAAGTAGTTTGAACTACTTTTTCTAAGTGGCTATAGTTAACCACACTGGATTTCTACCTTGGCTAGCTTTGCTATAGTTCAACTTCTTCCTGTGTAAAATAATTGGTAGCTTGCAAAGTTGCGCTTTTAAACTAGCTTCCCCAACACTGAAAAACGACCAGAAATGTTTTTAAAACATCCTCACGTCATCATTTATCCTATTAGACATGTGTGTTAAATGATGTCATAATAAGTATATGAATTCTTGAGTTATGGCCAAAAATGTGTTTTGTGAGATCACAGTGACCTTGACCTTTGATGACCAAGATCTAATCAGTTCATCCTTGAGTCCAAGTGAATCTTTGTACCAAATTTGAAGAAATTCCCTTTCGGCACTGAAAACATAATACCTCCGGCCGCGGCCGTCACAGAGGCATGAAAAGGACGGTGTGGGGGAAAAAAAAAAACAATGTCAAGTTGCTTCCTAACAAATCATTTACTACATGACCCAGCCTGTCAACAACTACAAGGATTAAAGTGATTTTTAAGCAAGCTATCAACTGCTCTGGCAGGGCTTATTTTTCACTGACAGACATGCCCTTATACAAGGACCTTGGCAAAACATATGGCAGGGCGTCACACATCACAAGTGTAATTAAAATGTTATGATTGCTATCAAGAGGTTAAACTACCTAGTTTTACTGCTAACTAGCTCATTTCCTATTGTGTTAACGGCAGCAGTTGATGGTGAGCTGATGGCTCCCTAAAGAACAACATCTGTACTCGGGGGTTAAACTGGGACTCATTGTGTGGCGAGGCCATCTCTTAGCAGTGTTTGAAATGGGACAGTAATGTGGCTGCAGCCATTTTTTTTTGTGAAGAATGCAGCTTCCAATAAAGTAACAACCTAATATGCATTAGAGATTCATTACACTTCACATGCATAAATCAGCTAATTTATCTGGTTATTAAAGAAATATCTAATGTATGAAAAAGCTTGAGGCATAGATCACAGCTTTGTCTGTGAAAAGGCGAGCGGCTCGTTTAGGCCCTGCCCACTCATTCATTTTAGCTCACTGCTATGCGTTTCACAAACGTCTGACTGAGCTCTACAAGCTCGTCCATACAAATCAATCATGTCGCTATGTGCTGAAACACTGCAGAGTGGGTGCTGAATGGTGACTGTCAGTCATTTAAAGTCAGAAGAAAATGCAGCTATAAGACTAGTAGCCTTCCTGTGAGTGACTATGCATCTTTCCACACTACAAAGATATGAGTGAGAAGATTTACTGATGGATTACTGATGGATATGCCTTGGCGTTGATATGACATTGAGAAAGCTGAGCATCAATGCTAATGAAGACAGACCTGCCACAGTTTAACCTATTGCATTTTTATATTTGAATGGTAACATCAGACAAATGTAGATGAAGACCTACAAGACACTAAGTGCTTCCTCTGTGATTTAATGTAGCAATGGGTCACTGCCGCTGCTCACCAGTCTCTGTTTTAATATGAAGGGATCCAGTGCAGGAGTTATTTTTCTTGGAATTGATATTTAAAAATGATAAATACAACTTTAGGTATGGACTTGTTTATTTTAGTTTGAAGTTTAGCTACACATTAGAGCAATTTACAAGTCACCTTTTCTTTTGCAGTGTCGTTAACTTCTTGCAGTGGAACACTACCGCGGGAACACAGAAGGAGCACTAATTTCAAATGGGAACATATTCGTTCTCTATCCTTTAATACACAGGCCAGAGAACCTGCAAACTTCCACAGTGGCCAAAAACACACAGTCAGCACCGTGGCCAGACAGATGGCTTGGCACAGAGTAATGCATACTAACATTGTGCAGACATTTGCAGGCGAATTGCGTTGCAAATAGCAATTTCAATTGTCAACTGTCAATGAGTTTTGTTAAAAAAACACACAAACAAAAAGCTTGCACCACAGCGTCTCCTTATGAAGCAAACATTATTTTGAGACATATTTTTGAAATATCTGTTCAGTGCTGCCGTGATTCGACTAGCCAAACATAGCACATACAAATATTATAAAAAGGCCATTATGGTCCGACAGCACAGCACATATCCTCAGACCAAGGAGCTGTGGCCACATATGTGATGCCAGGCACGGGAATCAGCCAGGACAGGCTGAGTGAACACAGAGCCAGAGGCCTGGGAAGACATTTATAGAGAGGCTGCACACATCAAGATGCAGCTGTTTTGAATACTATCTGCATGTGCACATGAAATGTGTGTGTATGTGTGCGAATGACTTATTGGCTTTGAATTGCATTCAGCTAAAACAGCCAGACAGCTTAATATATCCAGGGAGGCTCAGACGCGTCAAAGTAGACACAAGGGTATATGGCAATGCCACAATTTTATCCGTCAAAGGTCCATGAAATGAAATGACACTTTACTGAATGCCTCCATTCTATATCCATTTAAAATAGATTGAAAGAGGTCAGAGACACTATAACTAGTAAGGGCAGGCGTTAAGTGTAGTTTGAAAAGAAAAACTGGAAG